ATAACTGTAATCAATAAAACACTCAATGATAACACCACCCACAATGAAACAAGGGAACTCTATCTCTTCAATTTGCAGAGAGGAAACACCGGAGGACAGATTAAAAAGAGATGATTTAGCAAGTAATAAAATAGATGGAAATGTATAACTAGATAAATAAATAAATAAATAAAATTAAATCTCCATTTAACTGCTTTTGTCATGTTCTGCACCACCACCACCAGAAGCACCTCCACCAGAAGCTGCATCTTCATCAGTCGAGCTTTCAGCACTACCATTCCTCCTCCTCAGTGGAATATTCTCCTCAGGCTGATTTCGTCCTGCAACACTGCGCTGAGGATCAGTACCATTTCTTTGGTTTTGTGGATTCCGGTTACGCCTTTTATCTGGAATTAAGGAGAATTTTTATGTCATGATGATACAAACAACCCCAGCAGTGTAGTGCTAGTCCATAAACAATGTCTTAATATTAATATACTGCACTCTGACTCTTTTTTTTAAGTTATTTTTTTGCCTTTATTGTATAGTGACAGCCGAAGACAGACAGGAAAGGGGGGCAGAGAGAGAGGGGATGACACGCAGCAAAGGGCTACAGGTCAGACTCAAAACCAGGCCGCTGCAGCAACTCCACATATGGGTCACCAACTCTACCTACTGAGCTAACCGGGCCCCCGACTCTGACTCTTTAAAGAACCAGGATTTTCAGATAAACTGCAGTGTGTGTTCGCTCAGATTTCTTATCCACTTGAACCAGTTTGTTTGATAAAAAGTTAATGAAGTTTGATTATTATTTACAGTCCATAGTTTACAGGAATTTGTCTGACAACAGGATACAATAATTTACAATTTAGTCCGTGCTTAACCTCCAGTGTAGTTTCATACTTTCAGCCTAGTTGTGTTTGTCCATATCAGGTCAAAAGGTTTCTGTGTGATATCTGAGGTAATTCATTTTCACCAGCTGATGATAAAATAGCAGTTACAATGCAGCATAAACAAAAGATCACTCACAATACACACATATGCCGATGACGATGAGGATAAGGATCACAATTAAAATAGGCCAATATTTCCACTGCGGGTCCCCACCTGCAAATTAGGGTAAATAACAAAGTAATACGTTATTCAGCATGCTGTACTGATACTAACAATATTTTAAACACATTATTGTTTGGTATGAAGGGGCACAAAAATACTGATTTCTGTCAGCTCCCCAAATCTTTAGTCACTGATTTTATTACTTATATGAATCTGTTGGATCGGACCACACGGGCCAACCTTCGCTCCCCACATGCATCAGTGAACCTTCACCGCCCATGACCCTGTCTGCAGTTCTTCTCCTTCCTTGGACCACTTTTGATAGGTACTGACCTCTGCAGACCAGGAACACCCCACAAGAGCTGCAGGTTTGGAGATGCTCTGACCCAGTCGTCTAACCATCACAATGTGGCTCTTGTCAAAGTGGCTCAGATCCTCACGGTGCCCATTTTCCCTGCTTCTAACATTTCAACTCTGAGGACTAAATGTTCACTTGCTGCCTGATATATCCTACCCACTGACAGGAGCCCTGATAACCAGATAATCAGTGTTATTCACCTGTCAGTGCTCATACTGTTATGGCTGATTGGTGTAGGTCTCCTTTATAGTCGCAGCTCAGTTACTTAAGTCTACGTCTTTACATACAGTAAATAGCAGAAGCATCAACTACAAACAAAAACCCTCAAACACAATGACAAGAACAAATAAAAAGACTTTGAACCACATCATGCTTTCATATTGAATCTTAACATTATCGTTGAATATGCAAGCATATTGATTAACCCAGGTTTGCTTTATGTCAGTGATAATACCATCCCACATAAATCTGCACTATAAATATAATATCAATTGAAATATTAAAAGTATTAAAACTTGACTATGACACAGAGAACTTCTTTATAAATGGGCCTCAAAATAAGTTAAAACTTCAGCAGCCCTTTCTATTTGACTTTATGTCCATTTTACAGACACAGCACAGTAAGTAGATGGCAGGCAGATGAAACGATCATCACACATTAAAAAATTAAAAAAGTAAACACTGAAGCACCTGGTAACACATCTTTAGTTGCAGTCAGAGTCTGGTTTGAAGTTGGGTTGTAAACTGTGCAGGTCACGTTCTGTAACCCAGTGACGTTGACTCTGCTGCTGATGTTGTAGGTGAGGTCTGCTTCAGGAGTCATTGTGGTTTTTTGTGGTTCCAGTTTAGTCCCTCCATCCCCGCTCCATTTGAGTTCAGGTTCAGGGTATCCTCCATTTGTGCTGCAGGTTGCTATCATCTCTGTTTGGTTTATCTCAATGTTTGGGTTCTGGAAAGGAGCTGGAAAGGGTTTAGTGTTATTTGAGCAGGAATTAGTTTCATATATGTGTTGTTAACAGTCAGGACTAGATGTTGGTAGGGAGCTGTGAGAGTGACAAAAAGAACAACTGTTGACACACTGGAGACATTCACAGCACTTTGATATGAGAAGATTTTTATTTTGGTTACGAATAAAGAATCTACTGTACTCAAGTGAAACCTGCAGTGTGAATGTGCAATGTCGTTCAGACGGTTTGGTGACTTTTTTCTCGTCCATTAAATTTACATAGGCCCAAAATGTTTTCTTGTCATCTCCAACAGTAACATTGTCAAGTTTAATGGAAATATTTCCAGAACTAAACTGAGTAGGGGTGGCGTGGCATCTGTTCTTGTATTTGTCAGCTACTGGCAGTGGTTTCCCACTGGTGTCCCAGTCAAACAAGATGTTGTTGGACTGGTCCTCCTGCCAGTAAAACCATCTGAGTCTCAGTGGATGAACTGGTAGAGAGCAGGGGATCAGGACGGAGCCTCCAACAGTGGCACTGAGGAACTGCCCTGAGATCTGACCAACTATGGTTGCTAGGAAAGAAAACAATGAAATATTTGTCAGGAGGAGAAACTGTGCTATCTGAAATGGGCAGAGGCAGTGAGTGAAACAATGAAGTGACTGCCACCACAACCCAACCCTGGATAAGCAGGAGAAAAGTCTTCTAGAATCTAGAAGGCTGCCTTGTTTCTCATCACACCACACAACTATCAGTATCAGAAGCAGCTGATTACTGCTAACCAGTTAGCTTAAAGTGAACATTGCATGTTTATTCAGCTTAAGAAGTAGGACGATTTTCTAAACCCAATAAGGAGACTTAATCTTCTGAAGTAAGCTGAGATACATGGCAGATGTAATTTTAATATGAGCATCCAGGTAACAGCAGCATAGAAAGTAGGTGACACAAATGATAATATAAAAAAATAATAGATAATTTAAATAACAAATTTACGAATTATTTTTTTTGAGTGTTTAAAAAAATCTGATTCAAATTCAGAACTTTAAAATATGTTAATTTCCATTCCATTGACATAAACATATTTAATCCACAACAATAAAACCAATATATTACATATACTACAACTGAAACAGGTCAAACCAGTTATTGTGTCTAGTTACAGTATATTGTGCTATCAGGGAATGAGTGAATACCAAAATAAATACCTTACCAGATAGAAGTAAAATCAGCAGGATTGTAGAATACATGTCTGAACTGCAAAACAAAGATAAAACAGAATAACTCCTCTATCTCCCTCATTAACTCGAGTGGGTAATAAACTATCTGACGAATCATACAAATGCTTTCAACTATAGAAACTGATTTTGCTGTAGTATATTTATGAGTTAGGTTAAGTTACATTCTTTGTACCCGTAGATACATTTGGTTGCAGTAAAACAAAAGTATTTTAACAACAAACAACTCAGACAACAGACAGACAACATACTCTGAGTGGATTTACATAGGTTAAGAACCCATCCTGGCTCTGAATGTAAAATAGTTAGTCTCAACACAGAGCTCACTGTCACGTACAGAAGCAGTGAGTTCATCAGAAAACAATCAAACTATTGAGGTATTCTTCTTCAGTAACCTTCCTTCTGCATTAGTTAATCTTCCGCAGCAGTTGATTCAGAGGATTAGTAATAAAATAAATCAATAAATATCTTACCAGACAGGATGGCAGACAGGAGTTGCTTCATGAATCCAACCATGAGGTAGAAACAGTTTTGAGTCAAGCTGCAAAGAAATGTTTCTTCCTCCTGTGCAAGCAAGATCTATATCAGTGAAGTCCCTCCCTCTGTCTCTCACACTTACACAGGAAAATAACTTGTGCAATAATATATTCATTGTCATTAGTCTTTTTTTTTTTGGGTTTTGGTTTCATTTTTGTCACTGTTTGCAACTCTTGGATTTATTGAAACAGGTCAAAGTTTTATTCGTCCAACACTTTATGACCAAATACCTACATCCTCACAGAGCTGCTAGCATGGCTGTAGACTCTTTGACTGAGAACAGTGTTGTGCTGCTACTAGAAGTGATGGCCAGATCTACTTCACTTCACTTCAGATGAGTCACAGCAGAGCGGTTAGACATCAGATTAACCCTGCCCCTCTAACCACTCCCCCCATTTATCACTTCTTGGCTACACTTTTGTCTGTATCGCTAGATTTGCACATATGTTAAATTCCTCCCTCTCCTCTCGTACCTTCGGCCTCCCTTATTTACACCTCTTTATTGTCTTTTTTCCACAGGACAACAGGAAATGCCTCATTTGTGTAATATCTTGGAACACAGTAACACCACCAGGTGTTGACAGGTGCTGTTTTACAGGTTGCAATAAGGGATGATTAACCACATTAAAGCACTGCACTGGTTTGCTCTAATGCAGTGGGCGTGCCTCTACACTACGTACAGATACTGTATCCATGGTGCCCAGAGGATGAATCATAATGAGTTTCACCAGCAGATCAACATTTTTATCTATCTTGGGCCATTTTTTCAGATCGAGGTCAACTTTTCTGAGCGATCGCACCGCAATTGAAGGAATTACTGCGGGATCACAATGTCACACACATCTGACTTAATGAACTGTCAGTACACAAAGTAGGACACATACAACAAACCACAGGAAACAGCTGTATTCACACTGACAAACATTGTTACAAGGGTTACCAAAGGGTTTACATAAAGATATAAATTGCTGTTACAGATCCTTTGAGATCACTTTCTGAACAGTTCACAGTCAGGAGATGATATTAAACAGTTGGTTGTTTGTTTTCAGACCACAAATGAAATGAGGACAGAGACCCACATTTTCAGATGGTCTCTATCCGGTTGTTTATCAGCACCAGAGATTTCTCCCACCAGTCCCAACAAACCAAACTAAACAGGCAAATGTACCACAGTCTGTTTGAACACAAGCTAAAACTGCTGTCTGAATAGTCCTCAGGATGATGTTGTTCATCTGCGGTCGTTCTTTAGCTCCTGTTTCTGCCTCCTGCACCAGTTCTGATCATAGCTTTGGCACCCAGTGGGTAGAAATGGATTATAAGTAACACACAAGTAAAAAACGTAAGTTTTTATGGTATTTAAATGCTACTTTTTAAATATGTATATAAATAATTATACATATTACGTATTAAATTAAATATAAATAGTACCACTTAGTCTACTTTTCAATAAGCTGCACTTGCCATTTATACCTTTGTTACAACTACAAAGCGTGCAAGGAGCACCCCTACGGCAGATGCCAAGTTGCTTCTGCCTGGAAGAAATAAACGCACCACTTGTCTTTTGACCACAATGGACACAAAACCCAGAACAGAGGGCAGCTTCCAGTGACAATCGCTGGCAACATCTGCAAACTTTATGTATCCAAATCTTAAAAAAGACCACATGTACATGTACCCGAAAAACAATAATAATAAATGACAATATTAACGTTACTTTTCTTAGTAATCCCATTATAAAAATATTAAAATGGAAAGTAACTTGTACTTGTTAATTAATTATTAACAAGGTAATTTTTAACTTTTAGGTTTCTCAAATGGTACTTTTCACTTTAACTTGACTCATTTTTTATGGAAGATTTTCTACCAGCCACTGCTGCTTACTCTATTTTCCCTTTTTCACTTTATGAGCTGCTTGTTTCATTAACATTTTTGCTCAATAACGGTTTTGCTGCTCCCTGCTCTGCATTAGCACCAGCAGTGTCCTCATCAGACGAGCTGTCTGCAGCACCATGCTTCCTCCCTGTGGAACGGTGAAACACAGCTTTATCGGGTCCTAGTGAAACCCTTTCCTCAGATCTGCTTCCTCCTGACGTGTTGGAATGAGCATCGGAGGCATCTTCTTCAGCTGCGTCTCCTCCTGATGCAGATGCTGGAATTACAGAGAAATGTTTCAGTCATGATCATGATCAAATGAAAAACAGTAGTGCAGTGCTCCAGGTATGGACGTCATACTTTTCCTTCCTAATGTACAAGATACATATTTTGTTGCTTGTGTTTTAATATATATTGAATCCACTATAATATTTTGTGAATAATAACTACAGCAACATGTGCTATAATTTCCATAAAACCATAATTTGAAATGATGCTTGGTATCAAACATTATATTTAGGTTAAACTACGTTTTGTATGTTGCTGACCAGCACAACATACAAAAAACGGATAAGAAAGAGATGCAAACTCAAAATAAGAAAATAATTTAGCAAGGAATGTGTAAATAGATAAATAATTAAATAAAATTCAATTAAATCTCCATTTAATTGCTTTTGTCATGTTCTACATCAGCACCACCAGAAGCACCACCACCAGTAGCACCATTCCTCCTCCTTCGTGGACTATTTTCCTCAGGTTGAGGAACATCAAGAACTGGGTCTTCAGCTGGGTCTTCATTTGCATCGGGTGGGACTTGTAGATTCTGGACACACCTTCTATCTGTAATTAAGGAGACATTATTCATGTCATGACACAAACAACCCCAGCAGTGTAGTGCTAGTCTGTAAACAATGCCTAAAAGTTCAGATACTGCACTCTGAATCTTTAAAGAATTGGGATGTTCAGAGAAACTGCAGTGTGTGTTCACTCAGCTTTCTTATCCACTTTAACCAGTTTGTTTGATAAAACGTTAATGAAGTTTGATTATTATTTTACAGTCTATAGATTCTGGGAAGGCTTAACTTCCAGTGTAGTTTCATACTTTCAGCCTAGTTGTGTTTGTCCATATCAGGTCAAAAAGTTTCTGTGTGATATCTGAGGTAATTCATTTTCACCAGCTGATGATAAAATAACAGTTACAATACAGAATAAATTAAATGAATTGAACAAAAGATCTCTCACTATAGACCCATATGATGAGGGTGCAGAGGCCGATGAAGATGAGGATGCAGATGAGGAGGATCACAATAAGCCAACATATCCACTGCGGGTTCCCACCTGTAAATTAGGGTAAATAACAAATTAATACGTTATTCAGCATGTTATACTGATACTAACAATATTTTAAACACATTAATGTACTGTATGTTTGGAATGTAGGGCTCAAGAACATTGAATTCTTTCAGCTCCCCAAATCTTCAGTCACTGATTTTATTACTTAAATGAATCTGTTGGATCGGACCACACGGGCCAGCCTTCGCTCCCCACGTGCATCAGTGAACCTTCACCATATATCCTATATCCTATATATGATATATCCTACCCACTGACAGGAGCCCTGATAACCAGATAATCAGTGTTATTAACTTCAGTGCTCATACTGTTATGGCTGATTGGTGTAGGTCTCCTTTATAGTCGCAGCTCAGTTACTTAAGTCTACGTCTTTACATACAGTAATTAGCAGAAGCATCAACTACAAACAAAAACCCTAAAACACAACGACAAGAACAAATAAAAAGACAGACTTTGAACCACATTATGCTTTCATATTGAATCTTAACATTATTGTTGAATATGCAAGCATATTGATTAACCCAGGTTTGCTTTATGTCAGTGATAATACCATCCCACATAAATCTGCACTATAAATATAATATCAATTGAAATATTAAAAGTATTAAAACTTGATTTTGTATTTCTTTATAAATGGGCCTCAAAATAAGTTAAAACTTCAGCAGCCCTTTCTATTTGACTTTATGTCCATTTTACAGACACAGCACAGTAAGTAGATGGCAGGCAGATGAAACGATCATCACACATTAAAAAATTAAAAGGAAACATTGAAGCACCTGGAGACACATCTTTAGTTGCAGTCAGAGTCTGGTTTGAAGTTGGGTTGTAAACTGTGCAGGTCACTTTCTGTAACCCAGTGACGTTGACTCTGCTGCTGATGTTGTAGGTGAGGTCTGCTTCAGGAGTCATTGTGGTTTTTTGTGGTTCCAGTTTAGTCCCTCCATCCCCGCTCCATTTAAGTTCAGGTTTAGGGTATCCTCCATTTGTGCTGCAGTTTGCTGTCATCTCTGTTTGGTTCACCTCAATGTTTGGTTTCTGGAAAGGAGCTGGAAAGGGTTTAGTGTTCTTTTAGCAGGAAGTTTCGTTTTTGGATTAAAAAGAAAATAACAAAAAGTATTATTAGATTGTTTGCCTCTTATTAAAGCATGACAGATAAAATCCTCTTTAGTGTTGTTTGAGGTTTTATTAATATTATAATTACAGTTTTTTATAATTTTTAAATATTTTTTATGTGATTTATGTCATAAACCACAGATCACCAGGGCCAACCTTACCCACAATGTAATCTCTCTAAACAGATGAAGATGAGAAGTAGAGGTGATAAAGGAGGCAGGGACCTGAAGATACAGATCGCTCCACAGATGCTTTCGAGACTGCTGCTGTACAGGACCCCGCACTCACCTCTCCGGATGTGGATATTAACAACTCGCCATCTACGTGGAAACATTGCTTGCTGAGAAACACACTTAGGCATGAGTGAGTTTAAATTTGCATTAAGGTGATCACTGGTTGTCTCTCTCTTCTCTCTAGCCGGCCTGCATGATGCTCGACCAACCGCAGTCTTCTCACAAGAGGCCGGAGAGCGGACGGGAGGCGGACCCTAACTGACTGCCTAAAGCCGAGTGGAGCACAGGGTGGCACGGCCTCAAGGCAGCCAAATATCAGCAGTCTTACTAAATGCAAATTTAAATTCACTCATGCATACTTGTGCTGTGCAGTGTTTTCACAAATGCCCCAGTCTGTGGAGTCGTCGGTACCTTCAGTGTGCATTGTTGCATCTCCCTCCATTCCTTTATCATCTCTGTTTCATCTCTGCATTGTTGCAGCTTAAAATGTCTGATTTCACCAGAGCCTTTCTAGAAAATTGCAATACGTGATGTAATATTTTAAGGCTTTTATTTTGTAATGAAATTGTAAGAGAAAGTGAAAGAATCTATTTACAATTAAAGGAAATTTTTTATAGTGAGAATAAAATGGGCTGTTTGGTTTGGAGGGTAAATTTGCATCACACACGTCTGCATCTCCAACCCTAGAAACAAGAAGAACTTAGGCTGCTGTTAATGATTTGTGCATGAGGGTGACTCATCAAAGATGCTATTCTTGCCAGTACTATTAAAGTGTGGCAGCACAATATCATTGACTTCTGATCAGAAAATACGCATATCCCTTGTAACAGTAGAAAAAGTGAGCTCCCCTGAAAGCCATGCCTTAGTTTGCATACTGCGTGCCATTCATTATACCAACGTTCAGTTAAGCTATCTAAAAATATAAGCGTGCATGAATGTAATTCATTCTAAATGAAATGCTTGTGCAATAACAAGGTTTCCATAAACAGGACTGAACAGAGTATCATACCTGCTACATACAGAGTTGTCTGGCAGAGCTTTTCTGAGCTTCCTATATTTCCCGACACAACAACTTCAAGGGAGGCCCGGTCATCTTTCAGCTTCAGCGGCTCAATGACGAGTGATAAGTTTCCAGAAGCTATCTGATCAGTGAAGATTTTTGTTCTATTTATATATGGCTGGTTTTGGTATTCAAGCTTTTCTTCCCCGTTTCGGTAAAAGTGTAAAAGAATTGTTTCATTTTGATAATTTTTGCCCTGCCAGTATATGCTACTTTGCTTAGGATTAAACGTCTCGCTGGAGGTGTAAGTGCATTGCCACAACCCCGGAGCTCCTCTGGTTCCATTGAGGTGGATGTTTTCAGATGAATGTGGCAGTAGTAGAACCACATGGAAAACTGTACAGAAAGAAGATTCATTAAAACCAAACAAGAACAGACCAGCTCGGTTAGAATGACATAACATAGACTCCACATACAACCTGTGGGGGTTGGACTCTACAGCTCATCTCTCTATCTCATACTTTCAAATAGGTTCAAGGACCCTCAACACACTCTGTGACAGTATTTATAAGGTGGACAGCCGAAGTAGAGATTTATGCACAAAAGAAAAAGCCCACATTTCTGGTCAGAAAAAGAAACACCCTCTTTCAACAAGGCGGTTGTCATTAAAGTCATTACGTTAACTGGAGTATGCATTGCTGTAAACAGTGTTTTTTTCAGAATAAGGGCAAAACACAGAATATTTTGTGCATGTAAACATATTTAAAATTGTTTTTCTCGCATAAAATATGGTCCAAGATGCATGTCTCTCCAGTCTATTGTCCTTTTCTAGCACATTTTCATCATTAAAGCCTTTTTACAGTCAGGGCCAGCCACTACTGTCTTTGATGGATGTTAAACTGTGTGTTTTTAGCAGAAGAGTGACTATAAATAATATTAACATAAATCTAATCCTTTTTTAGATTCTTTTTACAACTCTATAAATTGAAACTGACAACAAGTGTGACACAAGTGTGACACCTGAGGAACAATGATTGGACATATTCCAGAGTCAATTATGTCCTTGGTTGTGGTGAAATACTTAAGGTTTCTTTAGATTTGATGTTATATTTTTACTAGTTTAATCCTGTTTGTCAGCACAGCTAGAGGGCTCGGGAACAAGTGAGCACTCATTAGTCACCGAGTTCCTGGGAAGTGGAACGCCTGCTGTGACAAAGGGGTCTATTCCTCTGACAGTGGAGGAGCAGAAAAGTAAATGTAACTATTACTGAAGCTCATAAAAATGTGTGCAACCAAACAAACAGATTTTGCTCTAGTATATCTGTGAGTTAGGTTAGTTTACATTATTTGTAACCACATTTGGTTGCAGTAAAAGATAAGGTATTCCTTTTGACAAAAGGATGAACAAATCAGACAACAGCCCAACATGATGTAACATGATGAATGATAAAAGATAAAGATAAAGTGCTCCAGTCTCTAAAATCAGAAATTACAAAGAGAGAACAATGAAAATCCACTAAAATAAAAAAGAACTAATAAATGAGATGAGCAGGTGGACAGATTATAATAGATAATAAATTTAATAATAGATTTTTGCTATTGAGTGGAGTGTTAAGACTTTAAATCGATAACTGAGACAAACTTCTGATATAGTTCAGTGAATAATGATCATTTTTAGATCTCACTAGTTTCCTAAAAGCTAACAAAAAAGAAGTGTGTGGAAACATCCAGAGCTCGCGTTAGTATCAGGGTTAGCTAGAGGAGACAAAAACATCTCATACTGTAAAAGAGGAGGAGGAGTTATGACGAAGATCAAATCTTTTAATATACAGGTTGTATTCTCTGACCTCTCTCCAGAGGGCAGACAACTTATATCCTCTGACCAACACACAAGTCTCTCTGAGTGGATTTACATAGGTAAAGAACCCATCCTGGCTCTGAATGTGAAATAGTTTGTCTCAACACAGAGCTCACTGTCACATACAGAAGCAGTGAGTTCATCAGAAAACAATAAAACTATTGAGGTATTCTTCTTCAGTAACCTTCCTTCTGCATTAGTTAATCTTCCACAGCAGTTGATTCAGAGGATTAAAGGTGGCTTAGTAATAAAATAAATCATAAATATCTTACCAGGCAGGATGGCAGACAGGAGTTGCTTCATGAATCCAACCGTGAGGTAGAAACAGTAGAAAAGAAGTAGTTCCTCGTCCCGTGCCAGCACAATATATAGGCCTACCAGTGAGGTCCCACCCTCTATCCCTCCCTCTTACACCCTGCCCCTCTAACCCCTCCCTCCATTTATTACTTCTTGGATACACATTTGTCTGTATCGCTAGATTTGCACATATGTTAAATTCTTCCGTCTCCTCCCGTACCTGCGGTCTCCCTTATTTACACCTCTTTGTCGCATCCTGCACCAGTTCTGATCCTAGTTTTTGGACCCAGTGGGTAGTAATGGATTATAAATAACACACAAGTAAAAAAGTATTTTATGGTATTAAAATGCTGCTTTTTAAATCAAAATTTGTAATACATATTTACAAATCTGAAAAATTGTAAATATGTATATAAATAATTATACTTATAAAATATTAAATTAAATATAAATAGTACCACTCAGTCTACTTTTCAATAAGCTG